AGTTGAAGAATTTCAATGAAATTAAAAATTCATGATTGATATTATTGCATATGATTTACTTTTTTATTCACTACTAATAACTATTTATGTTTCTTCCGCGTTAAGTGTATTTTTGCCTCGAGGGTCTCTGGCCCTCGTTTGAAAGTTGGTTTCTGTACCAAGCGAGAATTCGAAACATATTACATAAAAATCATAAAATTGTTCTTGCATAAAAAATGAAAAGGCGCATTATAATCGTCGGTAGTCAATATCGCATCAGGAAAACAAAACAGAATGCGTAGTTAATTACCTTTGCATAATCGTAGATGGACTGGGTGTTCGAATAATATGAAAGAATATTGTCAGGTTCCTGCGGAAATTCTTGAAATTGCTAAGAAAGCTAAGAACAGTTGTTTCCAGTAACATTTCGAGAAATGTATGAAAGTGTATTTGAGACTTAGATGGAAAATAACAATGTGAATTACGTAGATAAAACCTGACTTTTAGGTTACATATGTTGTCGAAAGTTATTTATATTTCCTTACATCAAAAAATAACATTTCGAGAATGTTAGCTGGTTAGTTACATTTATTAGTAATATTACTCAAGAAGCATAAGTGTCTTTAAAAATTGTGATAGTACGTAACTATGAAATAGCTAATGGCAATTATAAATTGACGCAAAACTTTCCAAAACTGTAATTTTCATATCAAGTCAATAAAATAGCCATTATATTGAGATATTTTTCTTATTTGTGCATTGTGCCAATTATTTATTGCAATTTCCTGTTTCGTAACTTCAGTAAATCGAATTCATGAAAAAAATTCTTTGTTGGGTTGATAGCGAAGCAGGGTGTAGTATTCAAAAAGCCCGTCTAGACAGAAAGAATCCGATAACGATTCTGGACTGCGATAATTAACAAATTAAGATGGGGTACCATATCACAAGAGGGTGACTTGGAGGTTCAGAAGGTGTAAACCTGGAGACCATAGACAATCAAAAGATTGATGACCCTTTTTTATTTTTACAAAAAAAGAAAAGATCGTACACGGGGAACGGCGTTCGCCGCTCACATCCAGGGAGATAACGCAGCCCTTGTGATTGAATTTAGCTTTCCGCTGATTCACGAACTTTTTTTTTAATGAGACTTGTTCTCTTCGCTTACCGTACTACCATATCTAAATAAGTGGCGCAAGCACTGTCACTATTTGTTATCTAGTTGTACTTTATAATGTACAATTATTTTATTAACATTCCAGTGGGCCAAATATTCCAAAATATGAATTAAATAAATACATTTAAAAACTGTTTAACTAGTAAAATACACGTAGCTCAGAATAAATGTTACAAACTTCTAGAGTTATTGGAAGGATCTAAAATGATCACATTTTGTCAAAGAATAGTATAAAGTGAGAAATTTCATACAATGAAGTTCTCACTGTATGTTCTCCTCTGACTTCTTATGCACAGATGTTCGGCAGGTCACGTTCTGACGCTTTCAAGGAGATTTCATATACCAGTGAAACATTTTTGAAAATGAGCGTACCTAGAAATCATGGACAAATTACACATCTATAAATGCGTATAATTGGCGTTATATACAATATTTCATGACATTTCAATGATATATTCATTGTCAAAAGGTGATCATGTTCGGCCTTCCTACATGCCTTCAAAGTTTGTAACACTTATTGTGAGATATTCTGTAGTTCATAACTGACTTTATGAACTAAACACTTAATCACCATTATTAGAGTAACTGGGCGTAAATCAGGAGACCCGGATTCGACTCCCGGTCGGGATGACAATTCTTTGAATAAATTTAAACACTATTTGAAAATTTATTTGAGCTCCTATTATATTTTATTACTATCAAATGAGGCCTTCTTAGGCTAGCGACACAAGAGCGTGTAATGACGGGCGTTAAAGTGCGTCCGTCGTCGCGGAGCAGGGACGAATACGTGTCCTAGCACACGAGCGCTCTGCAATGACGTCCGTCCCGTAGCATCAATCAGCCGTTAGCTGTTAGCCGTGAGAATGTACGTTGTTCCTGACGGACGTTGAAGATTAGGTTTCCATAGTGTCCATAACATATGGAGTACAAGCGACGTGGAGTGTACGAACGTCAGACAAGATAATACGTTTTTCGTTTCATAAAATGAATAGATTCAGGAAAAATATTCACCGAAAGATTAATTTGAAGTGCATATGCAAGACCTGGGGGTTAAACACGCTTCATTTTACTACCGTGATGTTTTAATATGATCGTATAATTTCGTGAGCACAAGTAAGAACGATGAGTCGGACATTTCAAATAATCGGAAGTAATTTCTATACATTCTGATAAAGATGCATAACACCTGAAAGAGGATGAAAAAAAAATTTTTTCAAAAGGCGCTCGCTATTAATGGCATTACTCCATCTCCTCCTCGTTTATTTTGAAAGTTTTATTCTAATTTAACACAAAATCGCTAACTCCGCGCCACCTATGTCTGTTAGCACGAGACCATAATCCGTTAGTTGTGTTTCATTGACGTCCGTTGCGCGGAGGTGATCGTGCTCTTGTTGACTGGCGAACAACGAACAAATTGACGGACGTCAACAACGTATGATTTACGACGCTCGTGTGTCGCTAGCCTTACACTCCGATTTAAACATAGTTGCACATCAAGATCACGAGCTGAAAGGAGATGGGGACAAATTGCATCTAATTGGGAGCTCCGTTACTACAATTTGTCGTCGAAACGGAGCTTCCTATTGGATGACAGCGCCCTCTTCCTTCTTGGATGTCCGGGTGATGCCGCGATGCAGGCTGAGAACTGTCGTTTCGCCTATCACGTGGCAGGCTCCCTTAGGGTGGGGTCGCCGCATTGCTGCGCGTGTGATATTAAGGCTGGGGCTGGGTGCTCGGGTGGGGCAGGTGCGCCAGGATTGGCGGAGGGGTCCCTCTGATAGGCTGATTGTCAATCCGCCCCTCCCGCCAACCAACCTGGTGGTCGGACGGAATGGGAGAGCCCCAGGCCCCACTATCAAGTGCCGTCTCCGTCCAGCTCGTGAGCTTGAAGTGCCCTAAATCACAGTACATAGGGTATGCGCCTAGGTGGGTGGTTGGATGAGTGACGTCACGGCAGCCACCCTCTGCGCTTGAAGTCCGGGATGAGCCTCTGCAGCCAGCGCCGCACCTCCTCGTCCCGGAAGGCGTGCGCGCCCGCCCCCGCGTCGCCCTCCAGCGCTGCCCCCACGTCCGTCACCTGCCACACACACACACACATCGTGGGCGGCTCAAGGGGAGAGGGTAGGACAAGGAACGGGAAGGAAAAATCGCGTGCGGTCCTTGGGCGGCAGGTGGCTGTGATCTTTCTCCGTTGGATGGTCACATCTGGCGCTGATCTAAACGCCAGCTAGATGGTTTTGCCTTACCAGGTATCTACCGCCAGCGGGGCACCGACCCAGCCAGAAACCGGGCTCTAAGCTCCCGACTGGACTCCCAACATACACACGTTAGTGCACTGTAAGAGCTACCGACTGCGCGCGTTATTTCTTTTCCACTACTTATCCTATCGTCACCACTTACACACTACACTACCTTACATGCCGGGAGACCGATCGGGATCTTAGGACCTTTTCCAGACGGGGCGGTTCCCAGCTGGTGGGAGATACCTGGTTGGGGAAAACCCGGCTAGCCGACGGATCTCTCCATCCAGCGGGGAAAGACCATGGCCACCTCCCGCAATAAAATATGCACTACTCAATATCCTTTCTCATGCACAAGTGTGCGACATTTTCACATGGCTTCAGCAAGTATAAATAATTTAAAAAATCGATAACTGTCTTTGTCTGTCGGGTGGCTAGGGGATAGCGCACTAGCTTTCCGTGAGGCAGTCCCGGATGCGAGTCCCGGCGAGGGTAAAAATTAATCTGTAGCTTTCTAATACAAATCGTATCAGAATCTGTAGCTGTGATGGGAATAAGTCATTCTCGGCACATGTAACCCTTACCCTCAAGAGTGGATAAAAAATAAAAAGAGGGCCCAGTCTGGAAACACTGCCAGCTGGCAAAAGTCTAATTAATCTGATCTAAATGAGATAATCATACCTTATTATTATTATTGTTATAATTATTATTATAGCCCCTCGGATGTCTGATGTTAAGCTGCCAGCTTCCGTAGTGTCATGGCCGTGTTCTATTCCCTGCCCGAAAAAAGCTATAACTTTTTAATACAAATAGTATCCGATTCTATACATGTGTTACGAAAGAAATTGATCAAGCAGGCCATGCAAGCTAGGTTAGGTGATGAGAATAAGCCATATCGCCACATGTCTCCTCACCGGGTAAATCCGGCTCCAAATGCCCATTATAGAGTTACTCTAAGAATATTTTTACTTATCTTACTCTAAGACTTACTCTATTTTGTCAAATCGGGATATAAATGAACGCCGTGTAGGATGATAGCATTGCAAGAGATAGTGATGTCGTCATTTACAAATGCTCTAACTATAAACGAACGCACCGACAAAATGACTGCATTGATGTAACCTACAGTTATGTTGCCAACACTGGCCAAGGAGTAGCGTTCCATTCTTATATTACTCGCGCAACTTTTCTTGAACGACGGATTGAAGAAATGCGGGTAGAGTGGGGATATTAGTTAAGTTACCATCCACTATATTTTATGAAGCAATGCCAATCTCTGGAGAAGCAGACACGCCTTCTAAACTCTCTTAATAATTTGCATTCTTTCTCAGGTATTCCAGGAATCTCCTGTGATAGAACTCCATCTGCTTCAGTCATTTCTTTAGATTTTTTGAGAAAATCACGTCCAGAAGATTTATTTTGCACCAGTGAAAATGTGTTTGGAATGTTATCAGTGCACGCTGCGAACTTTTGTCTCCGACAGTTTATTGTGTCAGAGAGTGGGAAGTAAGGTTATCGTTCGAGAAAACTTGCGCGAGTAATAGTAATCTCTCTATACACCAACGTGTTAGAGATACATCTCTAACTCGGTGCTATACACACATTACCTTCTTGGCTTTCATGATGGGCAACAACACCGTCGCACCGTACACGGCGTACGGGCCGTGCTCCTGCATGTGCCGCATCAGCTCCTCAAGAGAGGGCGCTTCCAACCCGAGTAGTGCGAGCGTCCGCCGCAGCGCGGCGTGGTACTCGCGCAGCAGCAGCCCGCAGTGGTTCTCGGAAACATCCTCGCTCAAGCTAGTGCTCAGCAGGTACAGCAGGTCCAACGCCGGGGAGGCCACGTGGCTGATCTGAATTGATTGATTCATTAATTGATTAGTGATTCCATAGGTGTCAAATTGCTAGGTAATCAGTTTAATAATCATGTTTATCGCGGGAGTTGGCGATGATCTTCACCCGCTTGATGGTGAGATCCGGCGCCAAATACGTCGTCTTGCACGGATTTTCCCTAATGAGATATTCGGGGCACCGCGCCAGCTGGGAGAAGCTCTAACCCCCATATGTGTGGTAGTGTAGTGCTTGTAAGTGTAAGTGTGTGGGAGTATAGGATAGGGAAAGGATAAGCCAAAAGTTGGAAAGATCGCGCGCGGTCCGTGGCCCATTTGTTAGGGTACTACTCCGGCCTTCATCTGGTGTTTGTCGAACAAACAACTCACAACTCCCGATCAATGGGTCGCTAGAATTCTCCTCCAGACAGAGGCTGAATTTGACCTAGCCGCGTAGCTAGTGTCAAAAATCCTGCAATCGTCGGGAATCGAACCCTAGAACCTCCCGGTCAATTGATGTTCTGAGCCAACTTGCTGGAGATCTCGTCCGATTTTAGGTCGTGAAAATATCAGCCGGGCAACCGGTCGTCAAAAATCAAATAATTATCTGTTCATAATTAACACTAATGACCTCCCAAATCTACCCAGCGCCTTGAGTCTTCGAAATGTCCATAAATATGTTCCAGCGATACTGAGACCAAATTGAAAATCTACAAAAAACACTTTACGGGAATAAGTATTGCCTAGCACAAAACGGTAAAGAAATATTTATTGCTAATATTATGAGAAACTCTGGGGTTTGGTTTTTGCCTGCTGAAATCATTCATCCTGTATATGAAATATGAACACATTGTGCTAGTATTTTTCCTTTGTCTGAAATCAATTTAACAGAAAAATATGATTGGAAAATAAATAGTCGCTGAAAAATAATTATAGGCCTGATAATTTACACAATATACATTGAAAGTTGAAACAATAATCTCACTGCTTCAATTGAATATAAACAAACTCAAAGCTAGAATGAACCAAAAAACATTTATTGAAAAAAAACACAAATAAAACTAAGCAAATTACTATTTCTTAACATCTAATATCTTCTTATTCTTCCGATATTAATGAAATTATAATGGAATACATAAAAAGTAATTTAATTCACTACAGCAATATGTTGAAAAAAACAAAAATAATTAATTTGATTCACTAAACAATGATTTTGACCGAAACACACTAAACAAATAATTATAATCACTTTGTTTTACAACTTGACATTTTCCCAAAAAGTTCAAATAGTTCATAGAATTTTTCCAATTAAAAATACCTGTTCTAAGTTTTTAATTGTCTTGATTTTTGTTGGCTTTGCGTATTACCTTTCCGCCTATTCCTTCTTATACTTTGTGTCCTTTTATTATCTTAAACTTTGCCAATTTAACTTTTATAGTGTCTTATTTATGTTTAACGTTTCCTTAAGCATATATTTTATCTCTATATCATTACGACATCATTTACTTCTGTTTTCAAAGACGCTCAGATAATTCCTGATTTTCATCTAATCACAGGTCGTTCTGACTAATTACCTTCTCACAACGGCGTTCCGACAACTTCTGGTTGTTCATTCCCTACTGCAAGTCCAATATTTCCTTCGCCATGGAGTTCATCCAACGCTCCGTATATACCACATATCCGGTCCGCATATACGTAATCCTAGATACCAAATATAGTGTCCAGGGAGAAAACAACAAAACGAAAAAGCATTCAATTTACGCAATTTTTATTTTACGCAAGCTTTTTATTTCTATGCTATTTTCTATTTCCGAACAAATATATTAATTAATTTTGAAAATAATAAACAATTTATATGTTTCTGAAGTGTTTATATCTTTCTGAAATGCAACTTTTTATAGAAAGAATTTTTCCAAAGTAGCTTTTGAGTGCTTATTGCTACACAGCCATTCGAAAAATCATAGGAGTTTATGAGACAAAATATACTTAAAATTGTGTTAATAGCTTATTTTCGTACTTTCCTTGTTTTCTCCCTGGACACTTTGTACATGTATGGTACATATCAGGCCTGTGAAGGTCGCGGGCAAGGTAACAAGCTTAATAGAGGATGCAGGCCCTGCGTCCAGAGAAATTTGAGAGAGATTTAAAAGTACTAATGCTACGAAATGGCACTACGTTGCTGGATACCTGGCCCATGACAGTCCTTGGCAGAAGTTACTTGACAGTTATTGTAACAAATTGAAAGTATTTTAATTACTATTTTCTCTTTATGGCAAATAAATAATTCATTAAAATGAAATAATACAGTCAGATTTCAAATTCTCTATAGAGAGTAAAATTAAAAAAAAAAAAGCTGAATCAAAAGTATCATGATTTTGTAATCCTGTTTACTTAAGAGTGATATAAAAGCATGAAATTTCTAGGTTCACATTAGAAGGTTTAACAGACAAGTATTCTTGTCTGTTAAAAGCGCTGTCCACCCGAAACCGTGAAGCGTATTCATCTGTAGACTTGTCAATTTATTTCACATTATTGTTAAATACAATAAATATCTGAATGATTTAATAACACAAAATAAAAATGGAGTGAATACGCCATTCAAACATAGTCCGGTCACTTAGCAAAGATATTTGTATAAAGGAGAATTTAGTAAGAAAATAAACATCAAATAGTAATAAGAAGTGAAGAATATAAACATACAATTCTCGGTTATTTAATAGAAATAATCTGGCAACATATTTTCGTATGTAGCCACTAAGTCATGCGTCGCGCCGCTCTATCTTGCGCTTGTACCCCTTTCTGGATTTGGAGGGGAAATGAGTGCGGAGTGAGGGGAAGTTGCCCGTGCTCGTAGGAGCGCCGGTCTCCTGAGGCAGGCCAGTAGCTCGTGCGTGCGTCGGTTGACGTACCTGTATCATAATTAGTTTGTAGTAGACTTTGGTCCTGTACTAATATAGATTCACTGTAGTATGTACACATGAACATACAAATGGTAAAATACGGATGGAGGATAAGGAAGCATTCAGTTGTAGTGACCTGTGGTTGGTGGTCCTGATCTACATACATTAGAAATCAACACAAGATAGTCAACTCTCCATATCGGCTATGTACACAGGAAATACTGCTTCCGAGAAAAAAAACTTTTTTGCCTCAGAACCACATGTCCCAATAACATTAAGAGTTTGCAAGCACCTCCCGACGCTATTTTTCAACACATTTAAGAAATTAAAAGGCACTGAGTGATTGTACAACCAAGTAAAATTTTTCATCTCACTTACGGCATTTCACTCGAGCGTAAAAACTTAATAGACGTGTACTGTGACATGAAAATTAGTGAAATTCCATCTGGCTAAAACAATATTAATGCTGCGAACTAGTCTTCCCCTCCAACAGAAGAAAACGAATGTGAAGACATAGAACATAAAACTTAACGTTAAGTTGCAGCAATGTAACTAAATACGTTTAGATCCATTACTACAAACAATAGCACCTCTAACTTGTTTCACAGTTATTGATTGCTCACCTCAATTGCTATCACAATACCTTCATTTATGTCTCATGTTTTATAAACAATAGAACATTCGTTTTCTTGTAAGTTGATCCAATTTTTGTCAGATATTACGGGGTAGTTAGCTTTTGGTTCCTTTATTAAGAATGACACGAAAATATATATTTGAGCTCTGATAAATTGAAGATAAAAATAGAAGTTTGCCGGGAGAACACAATGAATATATTTAGGACTGCTTGTAGCAATGATGGCTGTAGTAGCGGTAGCGAATATGGCTGAGATAGGAGAGCACGAGAGGGACCAGATCAGGCATGGCGGATAAGAGCAGATATAAGATCGCGTACTGAAGTACGAAAAAATAGTCATTCGTCCACTAGCGGAGAGCTTAAGGTAGTTTGTATCTATCGAATTGTCTACTGTTGGGAATAATAATATTTTTGTTATTTTTGTCTATAAACACGCCTATGAATCTTTCGCAAACAAACCATCTAAACAACGCATTAAGCTTGCAAAATACTGCAGGGGACATTAGCATAATTCGAAAGGACTTAGAAAGTCCTAGGGAAAAAATGTTGTTTAGTTTAGTAAATGAAGTTTTTTTACAGACGATACATCGCTATTTCCAGTATGTATATTCCTCGAATTCACTTGCCAGCGGTCGAATTCATTGCCTTGCCAACCTTCTTCTCCACCTCCTCGGTTCCCCTCGTTCCCCCCTGGAAGTTGGGAAGGACCTTAAGGAGAAAGTAACCCTGGCGATGCCCTGGTTATCCTTACGGCTATCGAGAAGTCGATACCGAGGAATATTGCGCACTGTGTAAATACATATTACATTGTTTAGGTGAAAGTGGGCCGATCATAATTTTTAAACTCCATTAAAAACCTAAGGCAAGTCCCCGATCATTTATTTATCGTTTTTCCCTCATTCTCTGGATAACCCGGAGTTTCGTTAGCTCGAATCGTCCCCGACCCCAGTCGATCCAGCTTATCGAGTTTCTACTGAATAACCACAAGAGCCCGGATCTATGGAAGTACACGTGTTCTTATGAACCTCAACGCGTGGTTCCACTACTAATACAAACAAGAGAGTGCTGAAACATATGTCAAATCAAAGAAATCGTATAAAAAGACACAATTTTTATTACGCTATTGGAGAGCCGTCGTACCTGAAAATCCACAAAACGTGTCTCTTTGGGTTTGCCGTTGCTGTTGTAGTGGTACATGATGTTGTTGATCCAGAAGTCCCCGTGCAAAATGACGTTGAACTCCCCCAGTTTGGCATCGTGAAGCTCAGTAATCTTGCTCACTGCAGTTTCCTGTACATTATATATAAAGTAATTAACTATGAGAGTGTAATCCATGGCAACTTTCTTTATTTAATTATTATTTCATGTGATAATATTAAATGTGAAAGGTTTTTGACAGTTTATGAGAAAATATCGACAAAAAACTGCTAGGTGTATTACTGCTAGGTAGAGAATTCTTCCCCCCACCCAGATCTCCATGAAACAGATCTAAGACGAAATACATAGGTTTTTCACACAACGACGTTTCGTATGTTATGGCAAGAGATTGAATTTCATCGCAGCCACTCTTTATACTACGTTCCTTACTTTATACTATGTACGTATTCGAGTAAGTTAAAAAATGAGCAAGAGAATGCGGAACATGCACATACCTTGAAGGTCTCCAGTGAGGCGGCGTACTGCTCATAGCCCGGCCACGATCGGCAGGCGTTGGCCGCCGCCTGTATGGCGTCCGTGAAGAAGTGGTCGAAAGCGCCACTCTGCCTGAACCACAACGAGAACACACTAACAGACTTTGATCTTTCCTCATAATCCCCCACAATATTGATATTGATTGCCTGACAAAGGAACGCAGAACAAACTATGGACGCTAAACTCACATTTTTGAAAAATTGTACTTTATTTCAAAATCTATCTTAAAGAAAAATATTTCAGTCAGGAAACAATCTCTATCTTTAATATTTTAGTTGTAGAATGACTCCAAAAAATGTTGAACTTAAGCAATTTTCGAAAAATCAGGGTTTTTAACGAACATGAGACCTGCATCATTATCTTATATGTCCTTCACACTGTCCTTTAAAGACATTAAATCAAAAACGATGCTGACATTATTTGTTGAAAATGTGGAAAATGTTCCAAGGGATTTGTGTTAATACCCTCCAAAATTAAAATATTGGTTTTAAATTCAAGGGGCCACGACATCAGCCAGAATGGGGAATATCAATTCTGATGGCAACCGGCTGTACGGTTTAGCCACCAGCGTTGTTCATAAACGAACAAAAGGATGGACAGTCAGAAGCGTGTTGCCGTCATTCGATATTTCGGTATTAAGAACCCACAAAAGATGGATTCTAGCTACACCTCGCGATCGATAATTTTCTTCTTCTAAATTTAGTGACTGGATAACTTATCCACTTTTTGATAAAGAAATTTCTAGTTTGTGTATCAACCGCAGAAACTATAATTCTCGTATTTATTTCCACTAGCACTAAAAAAATCATCCCAGACAATCATTTTGAATAAACCTGTAAATACCCTTATAATAAGAAGAAAATATCTGGAAGAAGCGGAAAAGAATGGAATGAAGGAGAAAAAGTAGAGAGGAAGAAAAGATCAATAAAAATTAGAATGAAGGGAATATGAATAAAATAATTAAAGGAGAGAAGAAGAGAAAGAAAAGGAAAAGAAGGCACAAACAAAGAACACTTGCACAGAAGTCATGAACAGGAGAAGGAAAAGAAGAGAAGAGGAGGAAAGTGAATATACTTGATATAACAGTGAAGGGAGGAAAGGCAAAATAAAAAGAAAGGAAGGGGAAAGAGAAACAAAAAGGAAAAAAACAAAATGAAAACAAAGTGTAAGAAGAATAAACGGTAGAAGAAAAAAAGAAAATAAGGGAAACAACAAAATCAAGGGAAGGAATGGTACTAATAATAAAAAGAAGTAAAAGATAACACATGAACGAAAAAGTGGAAAAAGAAGACAAGAACGGAAAGGAAATAAGATCAGGAGGAGGAGCAGGAACAATAAGGGCATGAGGAAGGGAAGGTTGAAGAAAAACATAATGATGGAAGAAGAACCAGGAAAATAAGGAGAGTAAGGAAGATATGGACGAAAGGAAGGAGGAAGAAGAACACAAGAAAACGAAGAGAAGAAGAGGTAAAATGTGAAGGGAATGAACGTAAGGGAAGGAAGGATGGGAAAGAAGGAAGCGGCCGAAGGAAGGAAAGAGAAAATAAGAAAAGAAAGGAAGAAGGGATGAAAGAAAGAGAAGAATGAGTGGAAGATGAAGAAGAAGAAAACTAAGATGGTGAGAATGATGATGGAGGAGAAGATAAAGGGAGGGGAAAGAAGAGGAGGCAGAAAGAAAGGCACGAGCAGGAGGAACGAGACGGGTAGGCGGCAGCGTGGCGTACTGGCGCAGCGGGTTGTCGAGGCCGCGCGCGGCGGCGGGGTCGCGCTTGAGCAGCGCGTGGGAGGCGGCGTGGAAGCGCGCGAGGGAGCGCACGGCGCACAGCGCGTGCCGCAGCCCCAGCCCCGCGCGCCGCTCCGCCATCCGGAAGCCCTGCGGCCGCAGGTCCTCCAGCACCAGGAAGTCCACGGGCGTCGCGCCGTGCAGCGGGCAGCGCGCCGACAGCGCCGCCCCCGCCGCCCCCGCCGGCTCCACCTCCTCCAGCA